GGGGGGGGGGGGGGAAGAACAAGGCAGGCACCACCGGAAGCGAGGAAGGTGCTGTGTAATTACTGCGGAGCTGAGGCAGCTGCATCTCCGAAAATGCCGGATTACCTCGGTGCGGATCAGCGGAAAACCAAAGAGGAGGAGAAGGAGGACAAGCCCATCCGAGGTCAGTGGACGGAGGCAGGAGTTCCGGGCGGGCGACTTCGCACCAGGCTGGGCCCCGGGGGCAAGGCGAGGCGGGATTCCTGTCGGGCGCTCGGTCCTCGCTCCTTTTGTGCGGCCGGTGATTGGATCTGGGGCCGCAGCCGGCTCAGCCCGCCAGCCCTTTCCGTCTCCTTCACGCGCTCCAAGTTCTTCTGCATCTCCCGCTGGCTGACACTGTTGTTGAGGTTCAGCTCTCCGGTCGTGAAGTCGGGCTCCCTGCCCGGCCTCGCAGGCTGTTGAAAGTTGCCCCGCCCAATGGTGCTGGTCACCTGGATCCCCCTTTCTGCCCCGGGCCCCCCCTTTCTGCCCCGGGTCCCCCCTTTCCGCCCCGGGCCCCGTGCTGGGAAGTGGGACAGACAGCCTGGAGCTGTTGTGGGCGGGACGGGGTCGGCCCGCACCCGGGTTTAGCCTCTGGCCTGAGTTCTGGCTGGGAAAGAATTCGGAGCCCAGACTCGCACTATAAGAGAACATTTATTTGGGAAATCACGGAGGTAGAAGAAGTAATTTGTAGAAGAAATGGACTTAAGAAACACGTTTTAGCCCTGTCCGGTTTGGCCTGTGGACTCAAGGGTCCCAGGTTCGGTTCCGGCCAAGGGCATGTACCGTGGTTGCGGGCACATACGCAGTGGGGGGTGTGCAGGAGGCAGCTGATCAATGTTTCTCTCTCATCGATGTTTCTAGCTCTCTATCCCTCTCCCTTCCTCTCTCTAAAAAATCAATAAAATATATTTAAAAAAAGAAAAGAAAAAAGAAACACGTTTTAGAGGCGAAGGAAGGGCCCTTGGAGTTCGGAAGTGAGGAAGGTGAAGGTAATGCGCCTGGGGGGGCGTGGTGGGGGGTGGGAAGGGACAAGGGTGCTCAGCCCTAAGGGTGTAAGGGTGGAGATTTTAGGGAAGGTGGGAGGGGGGGGATCTCAGTAGTGTAGTCAGCAGTTGTCCTTTCAGAGTCTAGGTCTTCACTAATTGGTTGGTTGGCTCAGGGCAGGGGGTCATTATCCAAAGCAGCTGGTCCTGAGGTCAGCCATAGGGTGCCTGGTCTGGTTTTGTTGCCTTTTTGGACCTGGGGCTCCCGGGAGGGAAGGTCAGGGGGTCCAAACCACAGGACCAGGGATATGCAAGGGGAGGAAAGGTCACACTGGGGGCAAGGTCCTACCCTACATTTGTCCTCTGTTAGGCACCCGCGGTTTTCTGCCCTGGTGAATTTCTGTACCTGACCCATCACCCTTGCTCTGATGCTCATGTCTGTCTAACTGCCTACCGCAGAGCCAGGGTCCTGAAACAATTTTCTTTTAAAAACAAACATTCCTTTAACTTGATGATACCTTTACATGCCTAAAGCTCAAAAGGGAGAAAAAAGAAACATTGACA